CTCTCTCTCTCTCTTTCTCCCTTATCTCTCTCGCTTGCTGCCGCCCTTTTCTCTCCTTCCCTTCCTCTCTTACTCTCGACGGCGCAGCCCGTCGATACTCCGCTTATAAGACTCGCGGGGCGAATCGATGCGTGTGTTGTGCATGCACTCTCTTCGCAGCGGGATGACTGGTGAGAGAATTCAATTTCCATCGTCGTTATCGTGCCTCCATCTTCAGCTTGGGCTGTGCTCGGATCATCCTCGCTGACTCCTCGCTCACTCCTCTTTCCGCCATCACCGCCTGCCGGCAGTAACGAGACAAAGCCGTCATTGCCTTCGCTTTTGCTCGCGCGCTTCGCTCTCGCGACCTTTCCGCCGGATGAACCGTCAAGAGCGTCCACGTGCGCGCGCGCGCGCGCGCTCGCACTATCGAGAGAACTCTCGATAAAGATCGATCCGAGTGACTAGCCTAGAGCGTATGTTTAATTATATCGAGCGAATCGGAATAGATTCACGTTCCAACATTCATTATCATATCGGGGATCAATTCAGACCAGATTCGATCTAGATTTATAATAATGTGAAAGACGATCGAAGGAAACTCCTCCAATCGTCCGTTGATCAGATAACAATCATATTTATAGACTTCGGGGCAAGTCTCATGAAAATAGTTGTTAAGAGAAAATCAGAGCAGCAAGGCGAAATAAGAGTCTGTATAAAAAATTCCTTTACACAGAGATATACATAGACTTCCTTCAACTTGAGAAAATCAATAGTGACAATGAGACTGCCGATGCATATACCGAACGGAAGATACCAATGTGCATGTGTGGTAGATCAAGTCGGTGTTCGATAAGGCGATTCTACTTGTGAGTGTAGATAATACGACTTGTTTTGACATATCCCATGGCAGGAAATGATCGGATGTCAGATACGCTGGACGCGATCATCGGACGTATCGGGATCTAAAAATCATCCGCGACATCAGCGCAATTCCGCTATTATCAATCGTTACACAAAATGCACGTTTCAACATGGCTCGATCGAATTGTGTTCGGTGAAACGATTACATTTTACGGCCGAACGAATAGTCCCCGTTATGCAATCGGGTCGCGCTTCCCAGCTGTCCGATCGGCAGTTTAGGCAGAGACGGCCTGTTCTGGACAGTAGTACAAAGAACATATGAGTGCGGTAGGTCGACCGTATGTGTATATCGATCGTGTTATTTTTCTTACGTTCGCGTTTTCATTGTACTATTTAAACGGCGAAAAATGCATTTGATGCACCATAATTAATATCAAATATAATAAATAACTTTTTTTCTATATAATCGAAAAACAGAGCGGTTTGATTTATTTTTTTTTTTACATTTTTACCATTCTTATCAAATTCATCATGTATGGCGTAATATTTTTTTTAAATAAACATATAATCGAGCGAAAGTTGTAAAGACATGGGAATAATAACATATGGATGATAATTGGAAATCGTGCAAACAGATGCCGATCAAGACTAAGAGTGCAATGTCCTGATATTCTATTGTAAACGCAATATACATATATGAAATTATATATATAAAATTGAATCGCGAGATATATTCGCTGGAGCACAGATCTATATTTCCGTCGCGTTTGCTCGTATCGGCGACGTGATAGCGCGTACACGCCCAACCGAGGCAAGTCGATCAATCCTCGAACGGACGCACCTAAGGACACCATCGCGCGGACCGCTTTCCACCGTTTTCTCATAGCAGAAGCGGCGTGCGGCTCCAGCGGCGATCTCCTGCGCCGCGGCTGATTCCTGGAGAACGACAGAGAGGGGCGTGTGTCACCACGAACTCTGGGGACAGATCGGGCCAATAGGAAGTGGTGGAAGGCGTGGATCGCGTCGGCCACGGAGGACAGTGCG